TTTTGTTATACAGAAGCTGAATTTAGCACTGTTTGCAGAACAATGAAAATAAACAGGAAGGCTGAACAATGACTTTCACAACAGCAGATAGGAACCCAAAGGTATACTGTCAACAATTCACTGGCAATCAAGCAGCATAGCCTGCAAGGGTAAGTGCATCTCCTGTGGTGTACCGCAATGCCCCCCAATGGAAAGAAGGGAGGTAAAAGCACAAATGCGAGGGAGTAGCAGACACAGAATTCTGAAGAGGTGGTGTTGTTCCAGGCAGACCATAATCACACCTGGGTGTCTGCATTTTCAAGCGTGTTTTCCAGCTTTGGAAAAAAAGATATTGTGCTCACATTGATGAAAGAAGAAAAAAAGCGTATATATTTAGTATTTTGGATTTGAGCCTGCAAAGTATTGCCCCGAGCACGGTGTACAGGTCAGTGCTCCCGAAATAGCACTCACAGTTCTCCAGCAACGCCGGCACGATACCAACTATTCCGTATCCAGGCGAACCATAAAGGCCGTGACACACTGCAGGCGAAGCAGTGCTGAGCGGTGGCGCGCTGCCTTTGCGAGCAGTGTGTCATGTCATTTTCTGCTCGGCAGCTCAGCTTGCGAGAGCTCGCTGAGCGTGCCGAGATGAACAATTTCAACTTCAGCCAATCGGCTCGCGCGTATAAACCAGAGCGTCGCCATGCGACAGCTGGCAGGTTGTTACGGACGAGCCGATTGGCTGAAGGTGCTGTCAATCATCTGACTGCACTCAGCTCACACACGGCACGCAAAGCTCCGTGCCGGATAGCTTTGCTTCGCTCTGCACGGCTTCGCGTGCAGTGTGTCACGGCCTTTACACCGCACTGACAGCTTCTGGCAGGTCTTTGAGAGCGGAGACTCTATTGGCTGGGAACTGTGATATGTAATTTTTCCGCTCCAAACTGAAAGCTTTATGTGTAGCAGAGAATGCTGACACTCAGATGGATGCTCCCAAAATTTAGAGCAGGCGTACAGGTAATAAACCTCAGGCTGCCAGGAGCACAGGCGGCTCTCTAATTATTCAAATTAGGTGGCCTAATTACAGGGGACTATATATACTGTATACATGTTAACATTACCCATCTTCTAAAATGGTGTCACTTTCCCTATGGAGGTCATTATGTAGTTCTGAGACCTGTGATGAATTCTTCCAGCACTACCACACACATGGCATACATAGAATCAATGTAGAATAAGGTGATCTCAGGGTTCCTCAGGGTGTCACCCCAGACACTTACCTTTAGCCCGGAGCTGGGTCCCAGGTACTGATCGGTACAGTGCACACAGCAGATGAAAGTCCAGTGTACAGGCAGCGATGCTGATCACTCCGTGCTCCTATCTCATGGGGCTCATGGTCCACACTGGCCCCTCAGGGTGCCTCCATGCTCTCTCCTTATGCCGGGGGGGCAGCAATCTGGGATGCTGGCGATGACACACAATAAAATCCAGGGAAGCCCTGCAGCAGCTTTGCTGTTCACTCCCCACAGTCTTTGTGATTCAAGGGACTACAGAGCAGAAGAGGGAGCCCGCCCACCTCGAAACTTCCAGCCAATGGCGGCGCCGTGCTCTCCCATCCCTGCCTCTAGCAGCTAGAGAGGGGATTTAACTATTGGCGAGCTGCAGTTGTTGGGCTGCGATAGTCCTGGCCATCGGGCGTAGCGGGCCGATTCTGTTCGGCCTGGCTTGGCCCACCTGGCAAGTGTCTGGTATGCCCAATGGCCACTTTGGGCCTTCACAGGTTCCTCCAGCTCCGAAACCATACTGATGTACAGGCCTTCAGTTATGCAGCTGGGGAACTAATCAACATACCACAAGTACATTGAGGTCACTGCACTTGGACTCCATTTTCCAGTGTTAATTGCATATCTCCCAACTTTTGGAGATGAGAAAGAGGGACAACTTCCAGCACAATGGGGGGAATTTATCAAAACTGGAGCAGAAGAATCTGGAGCAGTTGCCTATGGCAACCAATCAGCTTCTCTCTTCAGTTTGTTCAGTTAAGGATTGAAAATGAAAGGTGGATGCTGATTGGTTGCCATGCACATCTGCTCCAGTTTTTGTCTGCTCCAGTTTTGATAAATTCCCCTCAATGTATTTAGGCAATAGACACACTCCTGCCACCAACCAGTTATGCGGACCATTAAGAATTTATATGCCAATAATTATTGGTTAATTTGTATTTTTACTGTTACTTCACACTGGCTTTTCTAAATAGCAAACTAGATAATCAAGAGATAAGATAACACTTCTGGTAGTTAAATAGAAAATTTTCATAGATATCTGTACATCAGAGCAAAAAGAGGGACAGAGGGATTTGGTTCTTAAAGAGGGACATTTGGGAAGTATGTAATCGCTGGACAACCAGAGAGCGGTTAGCAGTTAAACACGGTGCTATGTATTTATCAATCTACATGCGTTATACGGCTGATTAATGTTCACTGAGTAAGGGCCTGTTCACAGCTAAGCATAGTGTTAATTGCACACTATCGCACAGCGCACCAAGCCCGCGTTATGTACATTGCAATGTCAATAATTTGAATGGTACCCCAACGCACCTCCCTCCCACCATGTGCTGCATATGTTGCTGCATGCCCTACTTTGTTTACCGCGATTCATAGTATTGCCGTATCACATGTTGCAGAACATGGCAGCCTGGAGATGCATTGGAGTGCCATTTAAATGAATGGCTATGCAACGCACCTTGCACACAGTAATGGCCGATTTACACCACATGCGTTGGGGCTGCACCAGCCATTATTTCCAGCGCAGCCCCAAGGCAATTTGCCTTGTCACGAACGGGCTCAGTTCACACCACTGTATTGCAATGGGAACTTGGTGCACTGAAAAAGCGTGCTGTACTTTTTTCAGCGCAGCAGGATGCAAAGCGGAACAACTTAATCTGTGCCTGTGGGACTTAATAAAATGTCACTTGTGACATTTCAATAATGTTCTTACAAAAAGGTTTTTAAAAAGTG